TTATATTTATTTTTCATTATATCTCTCTTAACCGGTAATAAGTTTTTGCATCGAAATTATTGCCAATTATTTTATGTCTTTTATTTTGTATTAATTTTCTCTAAACTGTTTCAAATCAACTAATTATGAAATATTTCTATCGATATACTTAATGAATGTTTAGTATGTTTAGTAGCATTTTGAACAAAATTTGTTGAAAAAATAAGTTTAATTTATTCAATGTATTCATTTTTAATTTGATTAGAAAAATATTAATAGTTCTCAAAATATTTTAATAAAAGACGATTAAATGTATGGTTAGAAAAAATTTTGATTTATGATCCGTTTATCAGATTTCATGACTGATTTGCTATTGAGGAGAAAATATTGAAATTACAAATATGATTGAAATGCAATCGTCAGACAAAATCAAATAATTAGAGTTTAATCGTGTGTTGATTTTGGCTGTATTTTTGTTTATTATGAAACCCCAGTGAACGGCACACATAGAGTGGAAAGGGAGAGAGAGAGAGATCTAAGAGGTAGGAGAGGACAGGCATTGACGGGAGCACTGGTATGGCTGTTTGATACACTGGTATACAGTGTATATACAACTCTTAAGTAAAGTTATTAAAAGTCAGTTAATGAACATTTTGGAGAAGAGTTTTGATGTTTTAGGCATTTGTATAGCAATTGATGACCCCATCCATGAGAACATCAATTAATGATTGTATAAAAATTAGTTATTATTATAATATTACATATCTTTACGACTACTGTCTGTACGTACGATAAAAATGTTAATGTATTTCCACAAAATGATATTCACTGAGAGTCTGATGAATAGTAATTATATGTTTCTGAAGCAAAGATTATCTCTAAAGATGAGTAGAAATATGCAGACGAAGAGAGACAACCGTCTAATAAGTCTACACTTGAAGAGACATTCAATTATTAATGGCTATAATAAAAATATTATTAAATTATAATTTTTACTCTTCGCTAAGGGTTTGAAAAAAATGTTATAAGATTTGTATGAATAGAGAAATAGAAATAGGAATTAGTATTAAGTATATTAGGAGACAAATACACTGTGTATACTGACAGACAAATTATAAGTTATATCCATGCTAAGGGTTTGAAAAAAATCTTATAAAGTTTGTATGAATAGAGAAATAGAAATAGGAATTAGTATTAAGTATATTAGGAGACAAATACACTGTATATACTGACAGACAAATTATAAGTTATATCCAAATACTAATAAGAAAGAGGAAAGCCATTCACAACCCTTACATAATATAACCCTATCTATGAATATACTTAACTTATATAATACTGAATGTACAGGACTTGTATGTGAACCCAACTAATGATCATTATTTTGTTTGAACGAACTTTTAAGTGATTTTTGCTAATATTTATTTGATTTGAAAAAATATTATTCCTTTTAAAATATTTTTTTATAGCCCTTTAAAACTCTTAAAACAAGATATCGATCGCTTGAATACAATTCAAGTAATTGCAGCCAAAATATTGGTGAATATCTGACAGCTTAGGTGTATTGGTCAATGTCAAGGGCAGCGCCGGCATTCATTGCGCTTATAAGTGCTCAATAGTATGCCATACTATGGCCCACCACTACATCCCTCTCACAACTCACTCAACACTCGCTATCTCTCACCAAATACTAACCAAAACACAAATTTTGTATAAATTGAAAGTTTTAAATATTTTACATGACATTGATGTTAAATGATATTTGCAATACGTGTACTTTTTTACCATAATGACAAACAAATAATATGAATATATTATATTAATTAATTTTTGCATTCATATTAAAATCAAATAATTAAACAGATAAATGTTTATAAAAAAAAACTTTGTGTATAAATGGATTTATTGAACAGCTGGGTATTGAAATACAATTATCATTGAAACTAATAATTTTACAATCTCTATGCCATTCTTTCAATTATCAATAATTATATTATAATTACGTAAAATATTTTTGCTTTTTTAATATCAATACATTAATTATAAGCCATAACGAGAATTTTTATATAAAAATACTTATTTGAACAGAAGTTACAAAAATAAAATGAATATTTTATTAATGGTTTTCATATAATATAATTAATAACATGTTTATTAAGTATTATTGAGAAATATCTAAAAGTTAATCATTTTTGTCATAATATTATTAATAAACACGAAAATAAGTTGTTATAAAAACAATATTATCATTCATAGGTTTTATATGAGGTTTGCAAAGTTTGCAAAGTTTGCAAACAATAAGGGAGTACTGGTTGTGGGGTATTATGTATAGACGATATATTAATACTGTAGTATAGTGTACGGTAAGGTCGGGGCAATTGCTTAATGAGATTTTAACGTGAGAGACCATATATGAGGTTAAACTCGAGTTTAGTTATGCAGTAGTTGTCTATTCGCCGCCAACAGTGAAAACAGTGCACAACAGCTGAGGGATTGAAAGCATAATTCTTGTTCACTATATTTATGATATCATATACTGGAGCATAAGTATTGTATAAATAGTGAGCCCTTAGTATGTGTTAAAATCAGTTATTATTATTTTCGGGACGTGAGGTGTGTTCTCAAGAAAAGTAAAACTTAGAGCCAAATTAGCCGCAAATTATATAGCAGTTAGAAATTATGACCACTTTTTGAACACATTATACTTTTTTGCAGATAAGTATTGCCGGAAACGCAAACATTAGACAAACTTCAATGAAGTTTGTTTGAAAAACACTCTATCAGTCTCTATCTGTATCTGTAATATCACTGGCACTCACCTGTTGCCACTCTACTCACCTCCCAGTCCTCCACTTATTTTTGTGTAGTATTAATAAATTCAATAACAAATAAATCGATCATTCATTTATTTCTCTATTAATTTATGATATTTTTATTTGCAAATTACAAAAATGAAGTTTCAATTAATATTAAAACTAATTTTTATACTTAGTTTTGTTCAATGTTTTTATGATTCCTAATATAAATCAATCTGATTATTATTCATATATTTTTAGTTATCCTAAGAGTGTATGCCTTAAAGCAGCTATGCTGAACTCAGATTATAAGTTAGTGGAAAAAGGTTTCGATATTTCCAGAAATTTTTGATAGTATTTCGAGAATATAAGAAATTCCATGTAAAGTCAAAATATGGTAAGTATTATTTATGATACAAACTTCAATGAAGTTTGTTTGAAAAACACTCTATCAGTCTCTATCTGTATCTGTAATATCACTGGCACTCACCTGTTGCCACTCTACTCACCTCCCAGTCCTCCACTTATTTTTGTGTAGTATTCATAAATTCAATAACAAATAAATCGATCGACGATTTATTTCTCTATTAATTTATGATATTTTTATTTGCAAATTACAAAAATGAAGTTTCAATTAATATTAAAACTAATTTTTATACTTAGTTTTGTTGAATGTTTTTATGATTCCTAATATAAATCAATCTGATTATTATTCATATATTTTTAGTTATCCTAAGAGTGTATGCCTTAAAGGCTTACAAAACTAGCAATAAAAGGGTCGACATCTCATCATGTGTTTTGAATATCATTTTGAAAAATATCCATTAGATTTGAGTAAAATAATTTCCAAAGCCGATAATTTTGATGATGTGGTTACCAATGAGTGCATAAATTCATTAATTATAAATAGTTTTTAATTTAAAATTCATTTTTTACGAAATTGAGTGATAAATGAAATTGATTTAAAATTTATTGAATAGATATCTCAACGAGAAAAGGCATATTTTACAAATTTATCTTGAACATCACGTTTAATATAAAATAAAGTAAATCCATTTGTGCGAGAATATTAAAATTCTTACCAAAATAAACTCATAACAAATAAAACCCTTATTTATATATGTGTTTCGTTTTTTGAATTATGTATAAATAAATAAAAATTCTGGCAAATAATGGGATATAATATCGTGAAGAGAAAAAATAATAAGAAATCTAAACAAAAATAAATGAGTTTTTCTGAGCAAAAGAATAAATAAAATGAGAAAAACTGCAACAAAAGGCTTCAATTTCTTACGGCTGAACGCATTTTCTTATATGTCTTTCAATTATTATTATATACAATATCTATGATTACATTCTCTAATGTTTTATGAAATATTCTGTATTCTAGTTCTTAACCACTATTTAGAAAAATAAACATCAGATAAAGAAATAAAAGTAGAATTATTTTTTATGATTACTGTGAAAACGTTTTGGACAAAAACAAGGTCAACTCACATATATTTTATGTTATTAGTATACATATAAACATTTTATAACAGGCTAACACTACGTTATACAGATCTACTATGCACCACTGTAGTTAGCAATAATGGTAGCAATTGATGATATATTATCTATAATTGTCGATATGTTTACTAAACATACATATTTTAAAGTACAACCATTATAACTTAAAGCAATTTATTTGGGATATAGTTATTAATAATCATAATTAAAGATATCTTCATTGCTCTTATGTTTTGATTTATAGAGAAAAATATAAAAAAGTTCTCATGATTTCAAAATGATAAATTATTTGTATGTTACTGGTAGACAATGAAATATATAGTGATATTTATACTATCATAGTATATAGTTTGTGTTGTCTGTATTTCCTGCGTCCACACAATTACACAATTATTACTCAAAAAATAAAATATTATTTTTTTTGCTGCGGATGTCATATAAGTTTTCAGCTTTAATTTCTCTCAATAAACAAAGTATTCGGTTTCAAATGAGTAAAAACGATAAAATACTAATAAAATAAATGATGACAATTGATGTCATGTATACTTAATCACACCATTATTTTCACGGCTATTATATTTTTTAAATAGCGACTAGTTATATACAATTATAACATAATATATTGTAAATAGTGGTCATCTATGAATGAATTACATGAAAAAAGTAGAAAACAAATTTCAATTTATTTAATATGATATGATTTACATATCATTGAACCGGTGATCAAAATGCAGACCTCTTAAGAGTTGGGAAGCACTTTGTCTGTATGTATGGGAATGAGAGCCCCGTCTGAATGGTAGGACTGGTCTGGTCTTAGGTCTACCACAGAGTCACAGCCGGTTGAACACGAATATAGCCGACGGCCACATACTATATAAATAATAAATAATTGATGGATTTATATAACTATTGTGTCTCACAATAATTGAAACTAAATAATGACATCAAATTAATAGTCTTTTGAAATATACGTTTGATTTATCAAAATATTTATAAAACTATTAATAATTATTACCTAACATTACATGAAATTATACAACACTTTAGATAAGTATAAAGAAAGTGAAAACTGAGTTTTGTTTTTATGTTTCAAAGGTTTACAACTCATTATAAGAGACGATAGTTAAGAGATTCATCAAAAGTGTTGTCAAATGACAAACTCTGGGCTAAAAACTATTCGTCTATTTATTCATTGGTTTATTAGCTTACATGACATAACCATAAACTCCGGATCCGAGACTATTATGAAATTTATTCGTTTCGTACGGATTGTCAGAATGGCATCAAAATAAGGATATAATATCATATCGCACCGGGATTTTATTGTTTTGATGCATCCATTTATAAGAATTATTTCAATGCCATTAAACGACGCTATAATTCAATACATAATACAAACATTACTAATATCTTAAACAAATAAAGAAAAAATAGAAATACAAGTTATAACTTCTCTACACTACTATTTCATTCATGTATGGAAACACACAAATACTATTGGGGGCACAGGGATCTCCAGCAAACAGCTTCCCACAACTTCTTTTTTTTGTCTACAATTATGCTTTTTGTGAATATCATATGATTTATGATTTTAAAGCCACAAGTAATACAAACCCAATAATCAAAACGAAACCAAAAGCACTTCAATGCGGAACGCGTTTAGAAAATTATTTTGATTATTATAACAGAAAATCTTAGTCTTAATTATTTAGTCTCCTTTTGAGCGCTATTTTTGTGACGGAGACCAGAGAGGCATTGGTTGAATGACTGGTGGCTATGGATGAGTATCGTTCAGAATCCTAACCGTGATTCCGTTACTTTCAAAGGAAATATTTACCCAAAAACTATAATATCCCAAAAATGCATTAACTATACCTGCGTTTACCTGTCCTATCAATAGCGCTCATGTATCAGAATTGCATACAAGTGTCTCGTAGTCGGCACATACTACCAGCCCTCACACCATCACATATGATATATTCATCACAACAATACACTAACAATAATCCTATTATTATATGATTTTACATGATTTAAATGATTGTATCAAATATTCTAACAATTGGATATCTTTTTTTTAAACAAATAAAGAAAAAATAGAAATACAAGTTATAACTTCTCTACACTACTATTTCATTCATGTATGGAAACACACAAATACTATTGGGGGCACAGGGATCTCCAGCAAACAGCTTCCCACAACTTCGTTTTTTGTCTACAATTATGCTTTTTGTGAATATCATATGATTTATGATTTTAAAGCCACAAGTAATACAAACCCAATAATCAAAACGAAACCAAAAGCACTTCAATGCGGAACGCGTTTAGAAAATCATTTTGATTATTATAACAGAAAATCTTAGTCTTAATTATTTAGTCTCCTTTTGAGCGCTATTTTTGCTATTTTTTAGGCATTGGTTGAATGACTGGTGGCTATGGATGAGTATCGTTCAGAGTCCTAAGGCGTGATTCCGTTACTTTCAAAGGAAATATTTACCCAAAAACTATAATATCCCAAAAATGCATTAACTATACCTGCGTTCACCTGTCCTATCAATAGCGCTCATGTATCAGAATTGCATACAAGTGTCTCGTAGTCGGCACATACTATCAGCCCTCACACCATCACATATGATATATTCATCACAACAATACACTAACAATAATCCTATTATTATATGATTTTACATGATTTAAATGATTGTATCAAATATTCTAACAATTGGATATCTTTTTTTGATAATAAATTATATTTATATAAACCTTTTGTCATAATTATAATAATATTCGTCGCAAACAATGGGAATATATGTTAGGTTTTCATTGATATAAACTTTTATTAGTTTTTAGACACGAATCCCAATTCATAATAACCATAGAATAAACCTAATCCTTATGTCAACCATTTTTATGGTTATATTCAGAAGATATTAGTAATGTTTGTATTATGTATTGAATTATAGCGTCGTTTAATGGCATTGAAATAATTCTTATAAATGGATGCATCAAAACAATAAAATCCCGGTGCGATATGATATTATATCCTTATTTTCATGCCATTCTGACAATCCGTACGAAACGAATAAATTTAATAATAGTCTCGGATCCGGAGTTTATGGTTATGTCATGTAAGCTAATAAACCAATGAATAAATAGACGAATAGTTTTGAGCCCAGAGTTTGTCATTTGACAACACTTTTGATGAATCTCTTAACTATCGTCTCTTATAATGAGTTGTAAACCTTTGAAACATAAAAACAAAACTCAATTTTGACTTTCTTTATACTTATCTAAAGTGTTGGGTAATTTCATGTAATGTTAGGTAATAATTATTAATAGTTTTATAAATATTTTGATAAATCAAACGTATATTTCAAAAGACTATTAATTTGATGTGATTATTTAGTTTGAATTATTGTGAGACACAATAGTTATATAAATCCATCAATTATTTATTATTTATATAGTATGTGGCCGTCGGCTATATTCGTGTTCAACCGGCTGTGACTCTGTGGTAGACCTAAGACCAGACCAGTCCTACCATTCAGACGGGGCTCTCATTCCCATACATACAGACAAAGTGCTTCCCAACTCTTAAGAGGTCTGCATTTTGATCACCGGTTCAATGATATGTAAATCATATCATATTAAATAAATTGAAATTTGTTTTCTACTTTTTTCATGTAATTCATTCATAGATGACCACTATTTACAATATATTATGTTATAATTGTATATAACTAGTCGCTATTTAANGAAGTTGTGGGAAGCTGTTTGCTGGAGATCCCTGTGCCCCCAATAGTATTTGTGTGTTTCCATACATGAATGAAATAGTAGTGTAGAGAAGTTATAACTTGTATTTCTATTTTTTCTTTATTTGTTTCACACTTTTTTCTCTTTTTTCATTTTTTATGTGTTGATTGCGGGTTAAGTTGGGTTTCGAAGATTTCTTTTTTTCTGAACACTACTGTCCAATACGTATGGCATATACCGGTGCCGGTGGTCGAAATGATTGGTTCTGGTCTACCAAAGCATAATTGCCATCAAGTCGTCAAAACATGACTGATGGTTATGCTTATATCCAATACTATTATTATTATTCCTTAGAAGTTATGATATGAGTAGAGCTTCGGCTGTAAATACTTCCCGAACTTGTTATGAAGACATACTTTTCCTGTCAATAATGATATATAAGACCCAAACCTAAATACAAATCTCTATAAATTATTTCCTTTTCACTGTTTTTACTGATCACTTCTCGCCTTTTATTGAAATGCGAACACAAATTGATTTCTATTTCAACCAATACTCTTACACTACTCTTATTTTTATCAAACATTGGATTTAAGTTTGTACCATGATAAATTTATTTATTAACTTAATTTCTTTTTTTAATAGAAATAAAATTTTTATATTCTAATCTAATATCTACTACAAAATGAGCACATTATCTGATACCTCTTTGTGAAATTAAGATTTTACTTGTGATTAAAATCTGTAAACGAGTTTAAGAATTAAAAAAAAGTTATATAAATCAATAGAGAATTGAATGTATTGTATGTAAAGAATATGATTGACATAATGGATAGCATTGCATGTGTTGTGCAAACTGTGTCCAGAAGTGGTGTTGAATAGTAAGTGAGAGAAAGTACAGAAGCGCTGCAATCAGTGACTGGTATTACAAACGTAACCGTATTTCAGGTGAAAATGACATTTTGTATGTGGAGTACAGAGTAGAAAGTGTCCGCAAATGAGTGCAGCTGTTTGTGTACACTATAGCTGTTTGTATACATTATTAGAGTACATCTGCTCTGAACTGGTCTTAAGTGAACAAAATTCATATAACTCTATGGACTCATTGGACATATATATGCATAATATGAGGACAATCCGGACCAGTGGTCAATTGTGCAAATGTAGAAATGGACAATGGTCACTTTTGCTTATGATATGCACACGCGAACCAATTTAGTACTCGAATAGTGTATGAATTAATAGCAATATCTCGGACCCCTTCACGAGTGACCCCAACATCTATATATAAATCACTAACACTTTATTGAATTATAAATTGCAGACAACTTGCTGCGAGAGGTTGCAGTGAGCACCGGGAGGACAGGGAGGACAGGGAGGGAGGTTGCAGTGAGCACCGGGAGGACAGGGAGAGCACGTCTGCAGTTTATGATAGTGTATGTGACACTTGCATTACATGCATATCAAATGGTTTCACATTTTGTTTCCATTAATACTACTCTTTGTTAACAATTATTGAACACATTTATCGCGACTCTCGTTGAACTTTAGGCGAAATAATCATAAATTTAGATGAAATACAAACAATTGAAGAGATTTTCGCTGACCTTTTGACCAGAAAAGCGTTTTGTGAAAATATATTACTTATAAATAATACTTTAGATTCATATATAGTTTTTCAGTGCCAACACTAACACTGTATGTATTGTTATTTTTCTCATTTTATCCTCTATTGTACGAGGTTTTCATTTTTCTATTTAATGTATATTTTATTTCATATCCCTTTTGAAAGATATGTTAACCGTTTATGAGTTGGAGATAAGAGTTGACTGGAAACTGAGCGCACATTTACTGCAGTTTTGAAGTGCAGCCAAAACTGCAACTCAACTCATATTATATAAGAGTAAGAAATATGAGGGCTTTGGCTGCCATTCGGCTATATTTGGTGTAATAGAGAGCGACACGAGATGAACTACGATGTATAACATATATGAAACTATAATTCAACTTAACTTATGTGCCGTTCTAGTATAGTATTTCTGCAGCACAAAATGTAATAAATCAACAGCAGATTTTATAATTACGAATGCAATGGCTGTGCGAGAGGCCAATGATGCCAATGATGAATGTGAATATCGTATTGCTTTCAAGTTCGGTGCATAATTGATTGTGCAGTATATAATATGCAATACAATACACTATAACTTATATTCCCTATTATATGCCAATTGATATGCTCGGGATGTGCACAGCACCGGCACCACTACTCTCCACTCCCATCCACATCCATATTACACATATTACAGCTAATAAATGCTAACCATATATAACTGCAATATTACATTGTTTTCTCAAGAATGTAATATTATATAATTCTTAACATTTAGCTTTTATATCTTAACCCAACTCTGCACTCATATATAACTATTGATTTTTTCTAAAGCATTTCACCTGTCGTTTAGCTCTCATATTATATTCCCAACGATTTTTTGTTATTGTATTTTTGAAATAATACTGAAATTCCTATGGAATACAAACAAGGTTTTCATTATTTATTTATTTTTATGAATTTATGAAAAACCTTATCTTCAAATTAAGCAAAATTTATTTTATACATAAAAAAGTTCAAATAGAAAACAGATTAATGTTATATATTTTTATTATATAATATAATATTTGTTTTCTAAAAGCTAATGCATTAGTAATAACAGTGAACTAGATATCAATATAATTGTTTCATTCAGAATAATAAATTAAATTTTGTATTCAAGGAAATACAAGATTTTCATTATTATTTTCTATATTAGTATTGTTTGTCATTTAATACAATTCTGTAATATAAACCTACTTTTATAATATGTTTTCTGAAATTCAATAATATATCCAAGAAATAGAGTTAATGTTAAACCCTTTATTGCACATCACATGTAATGATGAAAGCCTACAAAGTGTTGGTCCTGTTTATTGGCATTTGTTAATTATGTCGGACATGAATTGCGTAAATATTGTTGAATACCATATAACCAGGTTATTCTGTACGGTATATATGGGATGAAATTAATAGCAAAGCAACCATTGTTTGCAATTTTGCCTCAATTCTCATCTTTCACTTATAGTTGCCTTTATTCGCATCAATCAATATATTTGTTGCACTAAAACCTTATGTTATTTTCTCTTTCAATCCCTTCTCTATTACACTAAATATAATTCATTTCAAAAATAAATATTAATTAATAACTATATTTCGCCTATTTTATTCAAATGAATTAAAAACAAAATTATGTGTTAATTCCGTATTTTCTATATACAATGAAATAATATATAAAATAGAAGTTTTTAGAGATAGTAAAAATTGTAATTAAATTTTATTTATTATTTTAATTTATACTTTTGTCAAATTAATAGTTATATAAATTATAATTATAATCAATTTTAAACAAATTTGAAAATCTAGTCTCTATTATTAAATACTAAAATGCAATTTCAAATTTCTAAAGTGTCTCTAAATATAAATATGTTTTGAAATATTTATGTATTCATCCAATGCATACATAGTATATATTTGTTGTTTATTTTTCTATGTTCTAAAATTTGTTTTACAACTTATAATTAGAAACAATTATTACTATTACTTAGATTATAATACATTAAAATTTTTACTAATGATAAAAACACAAAACTTATGACAACTTTTTTTGGACCGCGCTATAAAGGCTATATTAATACAAATGGCAAACGGCGTAAACTTTTTCTTTGCAAATAGTAAATTACAATAATTTATAGCCAGAGCTTAAAACATTGACAAAAAAT